CAAAACTACAAGGCTAATAAATGAGTATTATTTAGGACTAAAGAAAAGGTGGCAGTGCAACACAGTAGGCAGGTCTGTGGCTTTTCTAGCAAAGAAACAACATTCAAAATTTCCTCAGATACTACCTCTGTAGCCACAGGCAAATTAGTAAACTCTTTGGACACTAATCTTCCTTTTCTTTTAATTTTTGTTTTTAAGAATAGTTATATTTTAATTTCCAGCAATCAATATAAGCTGTCAAGTAGCTGAAAAGTAACAAAAGGTAAAAATAAAGCAAATAAGAGAAACAAAAACTAAAACTAAACAATACCAAATAATTATTGTTCTAATTGTATATTTACTCATTATTAAAAGAAACACAACTCTGTGTCAATTTCATTTAAAATGTTACTCAGTCTAAAGTCTATGACTGATAGATTAGTTGAAGCATATTCTTGCATGGCTAAGCTTATCTGCTTCTAATGGATGCTCTTTTTGTTTTACAATGCATCACTTGTGAATATATTCTCTCCTCTCCAACCCACACCATTGAGTCATTTCTTGTAGCATAAATTTTAAAAGGGAGAAAAAAGCATGTCAGAAAAACAAATTAAAAAAATAATCTATTCATTTGCTGTGTTTGATGGTATATGCAATATTCCATAATTGTAGCGCCTCATCTCTGCAGGCAAGGGAGGAAAGTACTTTTTCTCAACTCTTGTCCAAGGCCAAACTTGATCATTATTATTACATAGTCTTCTGTTTTATTATTGTTATTCTTTCAATTTACATTGACAATGTACATTTTCCCCTAGTTCTGCTTACTTCATTCTGAATTAATGTAAGGGAATGAGAAAACATGTATTAAGATCTTGCTACATGCAAACTACTGATGATACACAAAATCAAGGCAATCTTTCCTCTGAAGGGTGGAAAGGTCATTGCTCTCCACTTATTCTCTCACCTCTTGGGTTCTGAAGAAATTCTCTGGTTTTATACATGGCCCAAGGGATGTTCTAAAGTTTACTTAGGAAGTCCAAGTATTCTTCCTATGCACCATAATGCTAACTGATCAAGGCCTTTTTCTCATTTTTTCTAAAGCCTATGACTGATTGAATGCGACACGTTCTCACAAAGCTAGAGTATCAGGGAATAAAAGTTTATCCCATAATATTTTTAAAAATAAATCATTTTTATTTTAAAAATTCAATCTTATTTCATTTTCAGGGTAAGATTCTCTTCTCATCCCTCTTTATAACTACCCCCTTTGAAAAAAAAAAAAGGATCTCAAATCCAACACATGAGATCAAGCAAAACAAATTTTTGAATTTGCCACTTCTGAAAAAGAAAAACAACCACAGACATAAACATTGAACTGCACTCTTGAGTCCATCACTTTTCTATCTGGGGTTGGCCATGTCCAGAAAAGAAAAACAAACACACGCATAATCATCAAATTGTACTCTTGAGTCCATCACTTTTGTATCTGGTGGTGGATAATATGTTTTATCATGAATCTTCTGGGAACTATAGTTGGTTATTGCATTGATCAGAGTTTCTAAGTCTGTCAAAGTTGATTATGTTTAAAATATTGCTATTGTATAAATCATTCTCCTGGTTCTGCTCACTTCACTTCGATCAGTTCATATAAGTCTTCTCAAGTTTCTCTGAAACCTCTTTCATCAATTCTTACAGCACAGTAATATCCTATTACATTCATTGACTGTAACTTGTTCAGACATTACCCAATCAATGGGCACCCCATCTTTAATATTTTGCCACTACAAAAAGAGCTGCTATAAATGGGTCCTTTTCCTCTTTCTTTCATCTATGGGTATATATCCAGCAGTGGTATCACCCAGTCAAAGGGGATGCACAATTTAAAAGGACTTTGGACATATTTCCAAATTATTTCCAGAATGGTTGGACTAGATCACAGTTCTAACTATTCATATACTGGGAACATTTATAAGTTGGGGTATGATTCTTATTCTTATAAATTTGATTAAGTTCCCCATATATCTTAGAAAATAGATCCTTAATCAGAGAATTGCAGAGATTCTCCCCCACCCCCATTCCCTGTTTCTTTTCTAATTTTAGGTGAATTGGTTTTACTTGTACACAAATGTAAATTTTATGTAATCCAAATTGTTCATTTTTATTTCCACTAACCTCTTTGTCATATGCTTGCTCAAGAACTCTACCCCTATCTACCAGAGCAGATTCAAGTTTGTCTATTCTTCTAATTATTTCTGTACTGTTCTGATATTTGTTTCCTTTCAAATTCTCTCAACGTTCTTATTTTTCTCTTGAATCACATTGGAACATCCTGCTATATTTCCAAGTTCTCTCAGGAATTTGGTATTCATGAAGATGCTGCGGCAGCTACATCAGAAGACAAAGCAAATATGCAGCACATATATAGAACTCTTCTTGAATTCTACAGCAGGAGCAAGTGGTGGTACTTATGGCAGCCAAATGATGGGAGGCATGGGCTTGTCAAACCAGTCCGGTCAGCCAGAAGCTAAGTGGGGGTTACAGACAAGGCTTTGGTGGTCAAAGCAGCCTAAGCAGATAAGACCAAGTTTTACAGGAAAACTCCAGTGATTTTCGATCAAATATTGTATAGGGAGCCAAGGAACGATGAACAGCAGCTACTACAGTAGCAGGAGCCGTGCATCCATGGGACTGAGCAGAATGGGAGGGATGTCTTGCGTGTCCACTACGAGTGGTGGATGGGGAATGCTGTCCTGATCACTGAAGCTTGGTCAACTTTTTTTAAAGAAAAAAAAAACAAACAAAAATGAAGTTTAATAGTTTTGCAATACAAGCTTGTGATTTATGCTTACTGTGAGTGAAATCAGTATTGTTTTCAAAACTTAATGTTTAATATTCTTGAACACAGAAAAACATTCATCTGGGATACCAAGTTGAGTAAAGACTATAACTATTGAACAATTTCAGCTTTTCTCAAGACAGTTAGGTTGTAGGAGTGTGCTTAAGTAGTAAGCATATTTAGGTTAAAGCAGTTTCAATTATGTTAGATGCTGCTTTTATACCACATTACATGCAACACTGTTTGAGATGCATGTTGGGAGACATGCATTTTGTAAAACAAATATAAGAGCTGTGTCTGTGATTCAAAAGTGAAACATTTGGCATGTTTGTTCTAGTTTATTCCATTTACTATCCTGTAAGGCAGGTACATTTAAACTTTTTTTTTAAAGTTCTCTTGGGTTCTAAATGACAGTTGGTTCAATTTCCTTTGTCTTGCAATATTTAGAGTTGTTTGTACTTGTTTAGATATCTCTGTGACCATCTTCCCTTCCATTTCACATTTTTTTTAGTTTCTTTGCTTGTGTTTTGAGTTCTTAGCTTAATTTTCTTCCCTTTTATATATATATATATATTTATTATATATTATATATATTTATTATATATTATATATATTTATTATATATTATATATTTGTTATATTTATTATATATTATTATTATATTATATTATATTATATTATATATATTATATTATATATTATATAACATAATATTAT